TAAGAAAATATGAATTATCTTTTCTATTTCAGGATCTCTCAAATGATTATTTATTGGTCTAAGTCATGGAGTTAACAGACTTGTGTCTGAAGAATTGTTGCCTGGTCAGGTTGAATATATTTATGTTGCAGGGATGAGCATAAGATGGTATCAAACTGTTAAGACTTTGTTGTTGTTGTTTTAGTTTATGTATTTTAAAATATTTAAAGAATTTTAAAAATGACTATTTAAAAGAAGAAATTAAAAAAGAATATAATGGAAGAAAAGCAAAATATCAGTAAAGAAACAGAATTTATAATTATCATAAAATTTAAAATTCATTATTTATTTGTTTAAATAATTAATTGAATATATAAAACTAAGCTCATTATATCATTCTGAGAAATAATTGTAAATCACTACAAAACTATAAGCATTAATATTTACATTCACATCTCAAATAATAATCAAATTTTTTAAAAGAAAAATAAATACTACTAAAAGTATTCAGTAAAACTATATTAAGTTCTAAACTTCTTCCCATTATATTAACTAATGAATACATCACATTATTTATAAAAAAAATGCTTCTGGTTCTAGCTTTACATCAAATATTTGTCTATTAAAATCCATACTCTTAAGTATCTGAGTTTGTTGTATGACACCTGATATTTAGGGAAGCCATTCTTCCTTAAATTTAGTCATACTTCTGTTCTGAATGCACACTCTTAAATTTTGTCTTTGTTGTATGTTCTCCATGTTTGATTTTAAAGTCTAATATTGTCTGCAAAGTGTCTTTTTGCAATATTATATTTTTCTGTCTTACTTTCCTGCCATCTGGTGATCATCTGGATTTGTGCAGTGCAAAAAAGGTAGCTATGCAGTCCAATTTTGGTTTAAAAGCAGAATTAGTTGAAAGCACCATTCCTCACAGCTCACAATGTAATTACTAGCAAAGTAATTACTAGCAAAGTAAACCCAGGTCTATTAGTTTCAAGTAATTTAAGAAGGCCAATCCAAAAGTGATTACATTTCCAGGTTTCTTTCAATTCAGTAACCCTGAGAGGTTTCACCCAGCATAGCTATACAGCTTAGTTTTTATTCCAAAAATATGCTTCAGAGTTTGAATGCAGCATCAGTTGCTGACTTACTAAAACAGTTGTGTGATCTGAAAAAAAGAAGCACTGGGTATATCTGGAACATTGCCAAGCCTCTAGTTCATTTTGATAACTCTGAATGGTTACCAGTATTTTAGTTCTCTCCCTCTCCCTCTCCCTCTCTCTCTCTCTCTCTCTCCCCTCTCTCTCTCTCTCTCCTCTCTTTTTCCTTCAATTGTGTCCGATTTCCAGGGACAGCCAGGACAAGTCCTTGTATTTTTCTGGGCAATTTTTTCAGAAATGGTTTGCAGTTGCCTCCATCCTAGGAAAGAAAGAAAGAAAGAAAGAAAGAAAGAAAGAAAGAAAGAAAGAAAGAAAGAAAGAAAGAAAGAAAGAAAGACAGACAGAAAGAAAGAAAGACAGACAGACAGACAGACAGAAAGAAAGAAAGAAAGAAAGAAAGAAAGAAAGAAAGAAAGAAAGAAAGAAAGAAAGAAAGAAAGCGACTGACCCAAGATCACCCAGTTGGCTTTTTGTGCCTAACGTAGAACGAGAATTCACAATCTCCCAATTTTTAGCCTGATGCTTTAACCATTACACCAAACCAGTTCTGATTTCTCTTTTACCTTCACATTAATCCATGATTATTGACAGGAGCAGATTATTAATCAGAAATTTCTAATGAATCTAAAGGTCTGTAGGAGAAGCCACCTGAAAGTCATAAACTCAGGCAAGTTAACTATATACAAATAAGAAAAGCAGAAGTTGCTGGCTAACTGAAACTGCAAGTAGAGGAAACACAAAAACTGAAGTTAGAGTTTAGAGCTTAAGCTAGCAAAAGTATAACCGCAAATAAATATAAAAATAATTATAAGAATTGAGCTTTGTTAACAGAAGACTAGATGGTGATAGATAAGACGTGCACAAAGGGGGCTTCCTGGAACATGAGGAGGGGGGAATGGTTTAGGCGCTTCGAGTTAGTTTATCTAATGTTCAGACAATGGGTGTTGAGAGTGATGGGGGGAATCTACGTCGGGGGTAGGATATAAAAATGTGTCAAACAGCTCTTTAAGGTGTGGCTGGATTCCTACGTGTGCTTCAGCTCACCAAGCCTTTGCAAATGCTTCTTTTCAAATAAAGTTTTGTTTCTGGAATTCCAAGTAAGTTTGTTTGTTTTGGGATCTTGAGCCATGTTCCAAACAATTATAATATATATTTTACCTACATTATGCACCTTGTAATTTATTCACTATGATTTCACATATTTTTAATAACTTTTTAAAAACATTTTATGATTTTTCTGTTCTTTACGAATATTTAAAGAGCATGAATGTAGTTCTTTGACTTCTCCTTTTAAACTCCAGCTATATTAGTCCTGGATCTTCTTTTCATGCTTTGCAAGCTGTCAAGCACATTTGTTTATTGATAGATAATCAATATTGATCCCAAATCACATGAAAAGCAGAAATTGTATCGAATACCCTACTTTTAAAAATATCTTAAAAGATGTTTTATTGAAATGCTTGGGCTAAACAAGGAGCCCACCCTTTAAATTGGTTGATTTCTAATGTTTTAAAGATTTTAAGATAGCATGTGTTGAATATTAGATTCATAATATCAGCTTGGAAATATTGAAATTGTATTAATTAAATGTATTAATTAAACAGTAACTATTTCCATTCTCTAGCGGTCTGCGATGTATCTGCTATTTTAGATTCTTTGACAGATGCAGCACTTAAATAGAAATCAACAATTCAATTCCCTTAGGAAAATAAAATCTAGTGCAATTATAATCTTGTTTTGATTTCAAAGCATTGCATATGTCAGACCAATTTTGGGAGAAAATCTTCTAGTTAAGGATCTCAATTTGATGTCAAAACATATATCTAAAAATAGAATTTGTCATATCATGAAGAGCACTGACCGTACTGATTCTGGTACATGGCAAAGAGGATACATTTATACAACTGGAAAGAAATTTACTTTCTTGACTTTAAGGAATGGATCCAAGATGGGAATTCATTATCATTTAAAAAAAAAAATCATGTAATGAGAATCAGAAGAAAATGTACTATATTGCAATATGGTCTAGATCAGTGATGGCGAACCTATGGCACGCATGCCTGAGGCGGCACTCACAGCACTCTCTGTGGGCACATGTGCAGTCACCCCAATCCCGCCTCCCCCCACAGCCCCATCCTCACCAGCAGCCTCCCCAGAGGACAGTCATCCCCGGCCGCGGCCCATGTGAAGCAGCGCAGCCAAGGACATGGCAGCTGGACAGCAAGGACAAGAATCCATCCTCGCACCCCCTCACGTGCAGAAGGCATGGCTGTCATGGTGCTGTAGGGCCGCCTGGGCGATCTACTGCAATGGGCTGTGTAGGTGGTGGTGGCCCTACGGGCAGGTGGGGTGGGGTGCAATGGGCAGGGGGCAGAGTGGTTTTTGGGCATTCGGTCTCTAAAAGGTTCGCCACCACTGGTCTAGATTTAATGGCAAACTTCTGAATGAAATTAGCTTTAAACTATTATAGATGGAACTGTTCCTGTTAATTGTTGGGTTTTTTGGTCATGCTTAGTTTATTTTTATATTCTAGTTTTCATTCTTCACTGTGTAATTACTATTTGCTTTTTGTCTCTATGTCAATGTTGTGAGTTGTTTTGCATTTCACCATTAATTTTTTTAAATTATTTAATGTGTTATAGAAACGTGTGTTGCCTCAGCCAATTTTGCTCCAAAGTATTTCATTCCAGACAGATTACTGGTTTAATTTATGTTAATATGAATTGGGATGGTTGATAGTAGTAAAATGTGCAATGGGCACACTCGATCTGGATTCAATGTCTCAGCCTTGTGAAGGTCAAAGCGGAAATAAGTTACTCAATCTCTTTACCTTACGTAAAGTGGGAAGCTTGACAACCTATGAGAAGGTTGAGAAGTAGTAAGGTTCCTGATATTCTCAAAAGGAATATTTCATGTTTTTAAATGGTAGGAAGTCAGCACCCCACCCCACCCCACCACTAGACAATGAAATATCTGGGAGAATATTAAAAAGGCAGAATATTTCCCCTAAAAGAGAAAGGGAGAAGCTGAGGAGGCCAGCTTTTAGAAATACATATTTGGTAATCCATAATCCATTCAGGAAGAATGGGGCCAGGAAAGATGGAGCTGATGGGATTAGAAAAACAAAGATTCCTAAAATCTTAATTCCCCCACCCAAATTCTAAGGACAGGACATGATCTTTAGGACATAATAGGATTAACCCACCATCATTAGAATACCAAAAAGGCATACTCAGGTCAAAGTGCATTGCACAGGAACAGGCACCTCAAACACAAAGCCCGCTGACCCAGAACCACATACTGTTGCAAATTCTGCTAATCAATAAACAGGAATCTTCTTTCTTAAGCAGCCTCCAGCTTTATTTCCAGTCTTAGCTTCCATTTTATTTACTCACAGCTTGGAACTAGACCTGATTTTTTTTCTTTCAACAAAACTTGCTCAAATAATCATTAAAGACCCCTAATAGAATATCAGTGGAGAACCTAGTTCACACATTGTTCTAAGCTACGGTTTGCATAATCACAGATGAAAAGACTTTGTTTATAAAACATACTAAACCTCATAATTTACAAATTTACATTAGCAATACATAATGAACACATTATGTATTGCAATGTGTAAATATGTCCACCTCTCTGCGTTATATAGAAGCTGAATCTGTTTTGGAAAGAAATCTGATTTCACCAATCACATATCTTTTGATTTTCCCGGGCTAAAGTTGCTCAAAAAAATCCTAAATTAAGAAATAGATCAATATCTGTAATTGTCACTTCCTCTGTTAATTACCTGTTAGTCATCCACCCTTTAGAGTTCCTTAAAAAGCATGTGTGGTGACAGAGCATTTACATATCTGCTTGCAGAATGGAAGGAACAAGTCTAGCAAGAAGCTCCAAGAATCTACACTTTCTTCTGCTGGCCATTGTTTCTCTTCTCCAATCGACATTAGGACGGGAGTTGAAATTTGCGATTTTAGTAAGTAAGGGAAAGAGAATGGGTTCATAAATGTACATGATTTAATTTAAAATGAGCCTGGCATGATTAATCTATGATCCTGGACATATCAAAGTACAATTTTATTTCCTTTGTAAGGCTATGAAATAGGTGCAGTTTGTTCAAGGCTCATGTTTTAACAATGTGGCTAAGTTTTGTGTAAATATTCAAGCAGATATAATGAAATCCAGTGTATTGGTTTTCCAAATGCAATTTAATGGGCTGGTTATCACTTTAAAAGCTCTATATGGCACAGGGGTAAGTTATTTGTGATATCCTGAGGGTATATGCCCATCCTACTAGGTAAAGTGGGCACACTCCATGTTCCTTCCCTTAAATGGGGTCACCTGATGGGACCTTGATGGTCATACTAGCCTAGAATAGCCAACCAGCTATGTTCCAAGGGATTACTATCCTTGTCTTTTTAGGGATTAAATTTGGATCTGGAAGGCTATGAAGACCTGGCTCTTTCCCCAAGTAGTGGCTGGGGGGGGGGTGAGTTGGGAGATAGTTTGGTCTGGACTTTCCTGAAGGGAAAATGTTTTATCTCTGTGGTTATGGATTATTGTGAACTATTTACAATCTTTATATGGGTTAGACAGCCACATAAGTCCTCTAATAAATAAATAATACTGGTAGCTGGATAGATATCTGTTAGGAATTGTGCTTAGCCTTTGCTTCTGCATCACAAATTTAATGCCCAAGATGACTTCTTCCATCCTGGATTTGGCTTAGCTTTGTGTATAACTCCAGTTACTGGGTTTCTAAACCAAGGTATGTGATTTTTGTTGTATGTGGTGATTATAGCTTATCAATCAAACCAAGGTTCAAACAATTGCTGTGTATGAAATATGAGCCAGCTACTGATGCATGCATGCAATAATGAAATGTTGTCTACAAATCAGCATTAACGTAAATCTAAAAAAACCTCCACCTCTCAATTTCCATATCATCCCTGAAAGCCTGCTTTTATTTCTATCCTTCTTCATTGATGGATGAAATTTGCATCCCAGTGGATTCATCCTGTGTTTGTATGTGTTTCCCCAACAGAAAGCTCTTTGTCATATCTTCTACCTAGATCATATTTTACTTAAGCAAGGTATGAGGAAAGCCCTTGAATTTAATTCTATAACTGTAGTTCACTATGGTCACAGGATTTGCTGCCATGCAACATTCTTAGTGATTGCTGGAATGCCATCTGCAGACCAAGATTTGACTCTTAGTGGACAGAAAACTTTTGAATCTTCATAGCTGATTTGTTAATAGTTTTTGTTTGTTTGTTTGTTTTAAAAGACCTTGCAAATACTCACTAGCAGCCTGATGGAAGCGAAGTTTTGGAAAAGAGAATTACACAAATGCATAGATTGTGTGTAGAGGAAAAGACCTAGAAAGGAAAGCACAGGGAAAAGCTGCTATTTAACCTACAGTAGCTGTAAATGCTCTGTGGGAAATTGGCCTGTTTGCAATAGAAAAAATTAGTACCGACAAGGTAATCTTCAGAATGCAGTGATGATTCAAGATGCTTCCTGTGGCAACTCAGCTAACATCAAACTGAAACATCAATCTGATTTATACATGATGAAAACAATATGGAGAAATTGGATTTAAAGTTCTTGGAAATAATTAGTTAGCTGAAAGACTGGTGGTGTGACATACCTCAGTTTTATGGAATCTCATCAATAGGTGGGAGTGGGTGGGTAGTCATATACAGAGAGCCCTCATCTTGCAACAGTTCATTTAGTGACCCTTCAAAGTTACAACAGCACTGAAAAATGTGATTTATGACTGTTTTTCACAGTTATGACCTTTGCAGCTTCCCCATGGTCATGTAATTTATATTCAGATGCTTGGCAACTGGTTCATATTTATGACTGTTGCTGTGTCCCAAGGTCATGTGATCAACATTTGCAGACTTTCTGACAAGCAAAGTCAATGGGGAAGCCAGATTCACTTAACAACCATGTTACTAATTTATCAGTTGCAGTGATTCACTTAATAACTAAGGCAAAATGTCTCACTTAGCAACAGAAATTTCGGGCTCAGTTGTGGTCATACATCGAGAACTACCTGTATATCCTGGGCTAGAAAAATCTTTACAAACATACCCAAATGAAAAACATCAAGACTAATAGGCAAAAAGCACTGTATTCATATGCTTCTTATTATAAATAAATTGGTGTATTCTTGCAGACATTTATGCTACTTATAAATAGGGATGACTCATAACGATGGCCAAACATCAACCTGTGGTTCATTTACTGGCATGAGGGCCAATCAGTAATGCAGGATTGAGGAACGTAGAAATTTGTCACTTTATCTGATCAGAAGCAAAGGAGCTCTCCGTTAGCAAACAAAAGAGCTGGGAGGAATCCTGACCAAGCCTGACATTCTATTTTCATTTTTTTATGATACAGGAAATTCAAGACAGCAAATTGGTTACATATTTCTTATCATCATTAAAATAGCATGTGTACAAGTAATGTTGTTCAGCTTAGGACAACGTGTGTACTATACTGAAAAACAGAGGTTTCTGTAAAATGAGTGCTTTTAAAGATGAAGTTTGAAGCCCCAAAGATGAATTTGAGGTCCCAGGCCTTTAATAACTCAGTGCTATGAAAAAAAAAATTTGTTACTCTTCCATAGCAGTAATTATTGCAAATTAGTAGTTCAATTTTCTATTAAATGTTATGAGACTTACTCAAAGGCATGTCTATAAAACTGTAGTCTAATTCCTTTCTGGCGTTTTTTGTTTTTTTTTTTTAGCCTAGAAATTTATATCTCATTCTTCTAGTGCCAGAACATCAGTTAGTGTTGTTCAGCACCATTTAAAATTACAACACCGTATAGACATTAAAAAGATAATATACTCCTGTAAAGACAAAGACACACATATATCATCTTTATATTAACACTTTCTGTATATTAAAGTTCTAATAATAATCTAATCAAATAAATATAATAGAAGGGGACCCCTAGTTTCTGCTGTAAGATTTGCTGAAAGCTCTCTTGTCCTTATCTGAAGATAAATCTAAATATATAATGATTGACCAGCTAAAATGATATCACTATTTCAATCATCTTTAAATTGTTCTACCTACCAGTGATCTTAGAAACTCAATGGTAGTACAATGGAAGGACTAAAAGTTAACAAAGTCTTTTTATTCTCATCTTAAAACAATCAGTTAACTGTTCTACTTTCTTTAACATAATAACATCCAGCTTAACATTACATCAGAAAATGCTGAATGCAAAAAACACAATAATTCTTATTGTGAAATTTTGTTACCATGACTATAGTGGCACATACTTTAGTAATACTTTAGTAATACAGGAAAGACAGGATGATAGAGTGGGCAGAAGCTCCTTACAAACTTAAGGAGCTATTTATGTTGATAGCCAGCCTCCTTGCATCTTTAATTAAACATACCGGTATATGTATCAACTTCCTTACTGAGATGTTAGCATAAACTAAAGCAGAGAGTAGCTGCAGTTTACCAGATAGCACTACTATTTGAACAAGTGGAAATGGGCAAAAACCTAAGACATGGAACAAAATGGTTCTTTGTTCTTGATTAATGGTTAATGACATTGCAGAAATTCATTTATCAGGGAAATAGTTTTTTGACGAGCTCTATATATAAAAGAAAAAAATGAGAAAAAATATACCGATTTTTATAATTGCTGGTCAGCATCCAGCTGATTACAACTGCATATTATGATTTATAGTATTAAAATAGTCTAATAAAAGAACAGAATAAAATCTATTAATTAATATAGATTTTTTTATCCAGACATGGTAACCCTTAATGAACTTTTGCTGACATTAGGACTGAAATGACCAAGCTTTATTAATTTGTTTATAAAAGTGGAATATGGGAAAAAGAGATCATGTGTTGTATTTTAAGAAGCAATAATGAGTTCTAAAGTTGTTTATATTTGTCATATAGGTGGAATATGATGTAGGTGAAATGATGTCTTCTTTATATACCTTTTTAACATATATGAAGTGTAGTTTATATCTTTAAAATATCTTTTTATTTATATTTCTATTTTTTCTGCAATTTCTGTTCTATATGGCTCAAAACTGCTCCTATCCCATACGATGAAGCGTCACATGCAATACTGATGCAATACTGATAGGCAGTTTTTCATTGAAGAGTGTTAACCCAAAGTCTGAAGACAGCAGTGATTTGACTGCTATGAAATTTTTTTTGTGGATACTAGTCCACTGCCATGGTGCCCTTTTATCCAAGAGCCTATGCAGAGGCTCTGCTAATGCTGCCTTATGAGGAAGGAAGGCATGGTACAAATTTAGTAACCCTAAAAATGTTTGCAGCTCCGCTTTTGACTTAGGTTGGGAGCTTGGAGAATAGCCATAAGCTTTGAATAAGCAGGGTGTATTCCAGCAGCATCAATCCGGAAACCAAGGAATTCTGTGCACTCCTATTTGACATTTGTTTCTTTTGAACTTCAGCCCTGCTTCACGGAAGCGCTGAAGAACAGCTTTTAGACATTCTGCTAATATTTCTGCTAACTCCCCAGCAATTAGAACATCGTCAAAATAAGGACACACACCTGGAATAATTTTGAGTGTGCGTTCCATCATGCTCTGAAAGAGCCCTGGGGCTACGCTGACCCCAAACTGCAGGCGATGAACCTTGAATGCCCCTCTATGGATAACTATTGTTTGTGCCTCAGCAGTGGCATCATTCACAGGCAGTTGCTGGTATACCTGTGCCAGGTCCAGCTTTGCAAATAAACAACCTCCCTGCAATGATGCCAGGATGTGGCTAACTACAGGTACTGGATACACATGCTGCTGAAGTGCCTTATTAATAGTGCACTTATAATCAGCGCAAATGTGCACCTCTCCATTAGGCTTAACCAGTGTGACTATGGGGGTTTCCCACACACTGCTGTCAACAGGTTGCAACACTCCCTGTTGAATGAGCTTGTCTAACTCTGCATCTATCTTGGGTTTAAGGGCAAAAGGCACTCTATGAGGCTTTACCCTGATTGGGGTTACGGTTGGATCAAGATGGAGAGCAACTGGTGCTCCTTTGTATTTTCTTAAGCTGGGGCTGAATACATCAGCAAATTCCTGGAAGACAGCTGCCAAAGCCACTGTTTGGGTTCTGTTGATGCCAGTCACATGGATGCCCAGGGCATCGAACCAGTCTAGGCCAATCAGGCTTGTGCGCTGGCCTTCGACTATCACAATGTTGAGGGGACTCTCAAACTCTTTGAACTTTACTTTTAACATAGGTTCGCCTTTAACCGCTACACGGGAATTTTGAAAAACTGTAAACACTAGATTTGACAGCTTGAGTCTGACTCATTTCCCGCCATGTCTGCAGACGTAATTAAAAGTTTTGTAGGAAATTATAGACACAGCTGACCCAGTGTCCAGTTCCATTGAATATGGAACTCCTTGGAGCCTGACCGTGAGTCTAATCTTTTCTTTGAGGGGGCGATGGGCTTCTGTTCTGCTTCTCCTTCCAGAGCAATATCCTACTCTGTTTTGCTCTGGGGCCCCATTACCTCTCCTGGGAAAGTCTTTGGGTGGAGATTCCCTCTGGTGACCTTTACAGATGATAGCGATGTGGCCCTGTTTGCCACATGCTCGGCACCCAGCTGTATGAAACCTGCATTCTGAGCACTGGTGCCATTCTCTGCAACCCGGACAGCTAGGGAAGAAGGCTGCCTTGTCAAGTGGCTGCTGCCTTCTTCCTGGAAGCTTCTGCACCCGGTCGATCTCAATATCCTCGTCTGGGTCATCTGGTCTCTCTGAGTCTTCGTGATGCACGGCTATCTGGCTGGAGGAATTCTTTGAGGGTCATAAAGCCTTGATTGCTCCCCCTGTGGCCTCTTCTGCCATCGCTTCTTTCAAGGCGTCCTGGAACGTCAAGGTCTCCTTTGCAAACAGCATCTGCTGTAAGTCTCTGTTTCTCAGGCCACATACCAGTCGGTCTCTGAGCTGATCTTCTAAATTTGGAAATTTGCAGAGTCTGAATGCCTGTTGCATGGCAGCCACAAATTCAGCAGCAGACTCCCCAGGCTGCTGTTCTCTCTGCTCGAACGCATGTCTCCATGCAATGATGGACAGTCTTTGTTCAAAGTGTTCTTTAAGTCTTCTTTTCAAGTCAGCGAAGGTAACTGACTCCAAAGTAACAGGAGAGACTAGATTCTCTGCTATGTCAAAAATTGCTTGACTGCATACACACAGCAAGGTGGGAGCTTTAAGACCATCTTCCCTGACCTGGTTCACTCTCAGGTAGTTTTTGACCCTGGAGACATAAGAACTCCATTGTTCTGGGTGCGATACATTGAATTCAGATAGCTTGCCAACTTTGGCCATAGTTGGCTGTTACTGCATCTCTCAATGCCTTATGCTGCTAAGGGCTTCTGTGCGAATCCTAGGGACAGATCCCTTAGGATAGTGATGCTTCCAGTATAGCTTGCAGACAGGCACAAGTGGGGAATGCTGTTCCTACCATGGTGCTGATGCCTTGTTTTACCCCTTAGTGACTCTTAGCTCTTAGTCCTCTAGCTCTTTCTTCCTTAGCAGCATAATCCCATCCTTGTCGCCACTGTTGTAAACTGGGAAGGGTGAGGCAATGAAGACACAGGAGTGAAAATAACAGCTTGTTCATTCAATCCACACAGAAGTGGCTCTAGCAGCCACTTGACTCATATTTATATGGACTGACACTAGGTGGCAGCCAATGAGTTTAAAGCAGCGGTTCTCAACCTGTGGGTTGCAATCCCTTTGGGGGTCGAATGACCCTTTCACAGGGGTCGCCTAAGACCATCGGAAAAGACAAATTTCCAATGGTCTTAGTAACCAAGACACTGCTTCTCTATCCGTCTCCAGGTGGGTCTGTCCATGCTGGTGCCGAAGCCAGGGTCCGGCAGGGTTGGGCAGAGAGGCTGGGTGCTGGCGGAGGAGGAGGGGTGGACCGCATGGAGCGAGGCGCAGGGCAAGAGAGTGGCAAGGAGGCGGGCGCTGCGGTTCCTGCTGTTGCTGCTGCTGCTGCTGCTGAGGCGGCTGATCACGACACAGAAGCGCCGCGGCAGGGAGCGGCACGGGCAGGGGCGGGCGGGCAGGCAGGCCGAGGGGGAGGTGCAGTCCTCTGCATGATGAAATCGCAGGCAGCACCACCTCGCCAGCTTCGCCTCGGCCGGCGCAAGGAGGGCGCCATGCATGCACGGCACTCACGGGCCAAGGCGGTTGCTGGATGACGGCCCGCATGCACCCTCAGCCTGCCTGGCAGTACTCCAGCCACAAGAGAGAAGGCAGAGTGTGCACGACAGAGAGAGAAAAAGAAAAAGTGTGTGTGTGTGTGTGTGTGTGAGAGAGAGAGAGAGAGAGAGAGAGAGAGGGAGAGAGAGAGAGAGAGAGAGAGAGAGAGAGAGAGAAAACCCCGCTCCTCCTCCTGCCCCTGCCCGCAGAGGTCATGGCATTAGGAAGGTTGAGAACCACTGGTTTAAAGCATACATTCCAGGCTAAAACACAGGCTTGCAATACATACAATAGACAGTTAAGGATTTGAATTGAACATTTTAGTTAACTATTTTATAACAGTACTTACGAAATTGGGTTAATACACAATTATTATTAGTTAAAAATAAAAGCAGTTAAAAATTCCTACTGTAAGAAAGGATATATAGATTATAGATTCCATAGTGAAGGATTCTAAAATTATTTTGATATTTGTCAGGCATTTGGCTATCTTTTTCTTACGTATACATTGTGTTGAAATTATTTATGAATGATATTTAATAAGTTTCACATGCATGCTTGTTTAAATGTTTCTTCATTTTTTTTATCATTTGTATTCATCATCATCCAGGGTTAGGCAACCTTGGCTCTTTTATGACTTGGATCTTTTATGGCTGGCTCGGGAATTCTGGGAGTTGAAGTCCACGAGTCATAAAAGAGCCAAGGTTGCCTACCCCTATCCTAGCCATTGCCTATTCACTGCAGGATGAAGGCCTCTTCTGCATGTTTCCAACCAATATGGTCTTGAGCCTTCCTTTGCCATTTGGGCCCACAATACTTGCTAATGTTTATGCTTATTTATAATAGGTTAATGTAACATAAAATAACATTTACATTATGTTAATCTAAAACAAGGTGGAGAAAGTCTACAGAGCGTGGCTTCTGGAAATTTTTTCGACCCTTAATAGGGTTAATCTCTCTCTCTCTCTCTCTCTCTCTCTCTCTCTCTCTCTGTGTGTGTGTGTGTGTGTATGTGTGTGTGTGTGTGTGTGTGTGTGTGTGTGTGTGAGAGAGAGAGAGAGAGAGAGAGAGAGAGAGTTAAAAATATATCAAAAGGCTTATAATGAAAAAAAGGTGATACAGTCTTATAATCTTTCTTCCTAGATTTATCGACATGGAGACAGAAGTCCCATTGAAAACTATCCCAATGGCTTACACCATGAAAGTGAATGGCCACAGGGATTTGGGCAACTGACTAAGGTTTGTTGGTTTTCTATAATAGCAAAAACAGTAAACAATACATGTAATAAAGGTATATGACTTATAATGAACTTTTATTTATTGACATGTAATAGCACAAAACCTTGTCCAGTACTGTATTTTTACATGGTGTAACTCTTATAATCCCTGCTCAGCCTTATAATCCCTCCTTGTTCTGTTACAGTTTGTTCAAAGTGAAAAGAACTAGTACATAATTCAGAGGGGTTTTTTTAGAACATAAATTCATATTTTCAAAATTTAATCTCAGGTTAATGAAAAGTATGTTGTAAAGAACTAGCCCAAAATTAATTAATCCTGAGACTAACAGAAATCTAACCTTTTTAATCATCCAAGAGAAAAGAATTAGGATTCTGGGCCTAGACAATACAGCCTAATTCCATAAAAAAGTAATCTGTCTGTTTGTAGAATTCCTTGAAAGAAATTCAGAGACGAGGTTCGGAGTAGCAGAATAAAGTTTCTTTTATTATCAAAAATCAAGTTTAGTAAAAGAAAACGGTTTGCAAAGCGTGGTGGAACTCAACCATGCACTCACAAGAGTTACAGGGAAAAGCCACACCTCCTACAGAAGCGTAACAGCAGTTATACCCCTCCCTAACTCCTCCTACACCTACGTCAGCTATTCCTGACGTGGCAGGTCACAAACCTATCAGACGACACAATTATCCTACCTTACCTCCTACCTTACCATATATGGGTATTCTTTTGTTCTCTACATGTGGACATTCTCTACTTAGTTTCAGGCACGTACTCATGTTTTCTTGCACATGCTCAGTGAGCCTGTTGCTGAATAGAAAATTTTAAACTTTTCTAAAACCTTCCCATTCAATTCCCCCATTTCTTATTTGGTCACTAGTTTAATATTTTCTTTTATTTCATTTAACCTACTAGTTTCTTCCTTGGTAGTTTTCATTTGATGCAAAGTATTCATACTCTCTAACAACTGGATTTGATCCCCAATTTCTTTTAATACCATTATGGACTTAGCATTTTGTTGGGCTTGTAATATACCGTGGACTGAACTGTTCACTAGGTTCTTTATAACTGGAATCAGACAAGGTAACATCATCATCCCAATGAATATAATACATACCATAAACAGAGCCTGTTTCCAATTTCTGAATATTCCTCCTAGGAACCCTTCATCATCCAATATCCCTGTCCAAGTTTGTACAGGTACATGTGCAATCCTAACCATGTCTTTCGTTATCTGATTAATTACCATGCCTGAATCATCAATTTGTATACAGCAATTTGTTAAATTAAATTTTCCACAGACACCTCCTTCCTTAGCCAACAAATAATCTAAAGCCAAGCGATTCTGCATAATATATGTTCTGGACAAAACACTTTCTTTAGCCAACTTAGTTAAAGCCTCAGCTGTTCTATTGGTTATAATTTCTACTACTGCTTGTAATCGGATAATTCTGTTTAACATATAAATTGGGGTCCTATACCCCCAACTTCCATCTTGGGCCCAAGTAGCTGGATCATAATAAGCAATTATTCGTTCGGGTGGCCATTCATCATCTTTCCAATTCCCAATTTTTAACCCTTCTCCCACTTTAGCCACAGACCGCCTTACCAGGTTTCCCACATGTTCATAGGCAGGGACACCCAATAATTGTCTTCTTTGTAATGGCAAGAGGAAGAAAGAGGGTTGTATAGCACCCAGAATACAAGACCCAAACCATCCAGCAGGGAGAATATTATATGCAAACGCTCCGCAGATCCAATATAACCCATCAGGAGTGGTCCAGAGGAGGGTATCGTTTTCAGGATCTTTTAGGAAGGCAAGCTCGGGAATTAAAGATAAAGAGTTGTTAGGGACACTTTGATTCGTTTGTGATATCCAAGTATTGTTTTCCCAGGTATTCAAACAGCGCATGAACCCCATAGGTTTAGTTCTCCCACTATGGTTACTCCTCGAGTAACATATATTGCCCACCAGGTTAATGGACATCCTCCAAGTTTCATTATAGGTGTTCTGGTAAGTGAAATTTCCTTTCCATTTTTCAATTTCAGTATAATTAGCCTCTCTAGCATGCCATGGCCATTCATCTCCCATATTGGTTCCCCCACACACAAAGCAATTTTTCAGCATTAACTTCTGAGCAACCTCTTGGGCTAAAGCGATAAACATATTTTTAGCCTTTGGTGGAACAGGGAGACTATTAAATTTTGCAATCTCTTCCTGATATTCCCAATATACTTTTACTGGTTCTGAAGTTAACTTTGTTGAGCTCACTTTTACTATAATAAACCCATATGGATCTCTTCCTCTTCCACTTATTCCAATACCAAAATAATAAAAATTAGTAGAGGGGGTTTCAGATGCCTTGATTTGTAAGCAAATCCGTGTACACTGTTCTGGCTTACAATCTGTTGATACTGAGGCCATAGACAAGTTGAACCCCTGGGGTCCTTTCCTCCATTCCCAAGGGGTCTTAGTGGTATACCAATAAGTGTGACTTGGAGCAAAAGCCACCTGGCCTGTATTCGCAGCGGGCATAGCAACTTGGAATAAATATTTTTCTTCCCTCATATAATCTTTTTCCCACTTAAAGTTACCACACTTCATTCCATGTCTATTATCATGTCCTTGTCCTATCCTTATAGCTTTACAAGTGTCAAAATACACAGACAGCTTGGTATTTCCTCTTGTGGTATTGTGGGCAACGTATCCTCCCTTAGTTTGGGCTATAGCAAATAACCCTTCTGTTCCAGTAACTCCCCCTTTATATCCATATACATAAATGTTAGCAGTAATTGGACCTACTGCTTTTGGTTCATAGCACTGCATCCCTTGGGCTGTATAACACCTAAAATATTGAGTTTGATTACACACACAAGGTTGCACTTTAGTAGCATTACACTCTGGTCTTAGAGTGTGATATAATAAGGTACTAGTAACTATATTCCCTTGCTTAGTCTTTTTAATACATTCTGTGCACTCTTGGCAGGGTCCGAACTTCGTTGTGGTCTGTTTTGTAGTAACAGTAGTTCTCATCTTTCTAACAGGAGGGATAAGGAATGGACAGGCTGATGAGTCTGAACAAGTTCTTCCCATAATACTTCACACAGCCCTTCCCATTCAGGTTGTAAATACTGACTCCTAGTATTGTTACATAGAAAGTAGAGATAATCAGTGCTTTCCCCTTCTGTGCCACAACCACTGTACCACAAGGCCTTCCCTATCCAATGGCACCTTGGGTCTCCCCTGGTTGCATTTTCACACATCTGGGTAATTCCACTCATCCACTCTCTACTTTGATTTTTACAAGTCCAAGCTGGATCTCTCTGGGTTTGCCTTGGTGTTACTTCCAGAGTCAGATTACATCCATATTGAGTAGTTTTCCAGTATTGGAACTCTCCCTTTTGATGTCCCCCACCTTTTAGACAGATAATAGTACTAGTTGCTCTCTTTTCTCTCCGCAGAAAGTGTCTCCTCATAGCCGAAGCTGTCCATATCCACAAGGGAATAGGAGGAAATTCAAACGAGTCTGGAGAAGCCACTAAAGAGTGACTAGTCAAATATGTTTTCCCTTCCCACATGGTACAGGTATATTTACCTATAGTCTCCCTGGTTACTTGTAAATATAGAGTATTTTGACACTTACCCCCTTTATTTTGCGTTACCCAGCTTTTCTCCTGACCTACTTGCTGCCAGTTTGGTTGCAACTTAGATTCACACCACCAAATTTTGGGTTCAAAGATCCAATTCATGGGACAGTGTTCACTCTCTTTGTCATTATAACACCGAATTCGTGTCCAAGTTCCATTAGGTTCAAAGATTCTAGGCGGCTCAATCCATAATTCTCCCCCAATCGCCACTATTGTTATATTCAAAAGGATATAAGTCATTGTCTTTTTAACACCAGTTTCAATGGTTCTTTTTGAAATGCTTTCCATGTCTCCGACTCCTCAAGATTAGCCTTCTTTACTCGGGTATAATGAGTCCAACCCTTTTCTTGTGTCCGAATGGCAGTATCTGTGGTCAATAACACCAAGAACGGTCCATCCCACTTCGGTTTGAGGGAATCATCTTTCCACGTCTTTATCCACACTTGGTCTCCGACTTCTATGGAGTGGACTTTGAAGCTTAGAGGAGGAGTTTGTATCAAATAGCCAGTTTTTCTGAAAGAATCAAAAGTCTGGGACAGTATTTGCAAGTATTGAATCAGTCCCTTATCTTTACTAGGTAGATTCCCCATTTGTATACCAGCATTTCTTAGTGGCATGCCAAATAACATCTCATAAGGTGAAATCCCAACATCCCTCCTAGGTTGTGTTCTTATTCTAAACAGGGCTATAGGCAAAGTTTTCATCCAATTCATTCCTGTTTCCAAATATAATTTCGTTAACATAGTTTTAATCTTTCCATTCATTTTCAGGTCTCTGTCTTGCTCCTGTTTTAGCTAGACCTACATATATACTAAAATTGAAATATGTTGGCATTGATGGATCATAACATTGTATCTTCTTGTCTTCTCCCTTACAAACTGAATATTGTGTGTTATTTAATTGACACATAGATTGAAATATACATCCCCTAGGTGCTGGGGTATAATATACCAAGGTTTTAATTACTGCGTTTCCTTTGGTGGCATTCGTAATGCAGGCTTCACATCCTTCTGTTTTTGTTGCTCTCCTATATCGTTCTCCAGTCATAGATCTGGTTTGGACATTCGATTACTGTCGCTTTAAAGGTTCTGGATTTGGAACACAGGTCCACTGTTCTTTTGGTTCAGCTACTGGTCCCTTCACTCGTGTGTAGTGGGTCCACCCTTTTTCTTTCGTCCAGACTGCGGTTTCAGAGGTCAGCAACACTGGAATGGTCCTTCCCACTTAGGTTGCAGTTTTTCCTCCTTTCACGTTCGGATCAGGATCCACTGTCCCACCTCAAACTTGTGGACAGGAAATTTCAAAGGGGGTGTTTAGATCAGCAAGCCTTGTTTCCTGAGATAAGACAAAGCAGAAAACAGCCCCAGTATCTAATTCTTTATAAACATGTCATTAGTTTTCATATTGTGGAATTTCCTACTTGAGATAATTTAAAATCAACTTGAATGCATTGAAATAGCCTCACCATTAGATGTTATAGAGCATTTTATGTATTTGTCTACATATCATATAACCAACCATATATTAACCATAGAAAAGTATCAATTATCCCTCCCCTAGCCATTTCTTTTATCCGTATTTACAAACACATTGCTTAGTAAAGAGCCAACAAAGGAGCGCTCACCAACTCTGCTTGAGTTTGTTTGCATACAAATCTTTATTCAAAACATAGCTCATTTATAATCCCAAAATTTTCTCAACTCCTTCGTTTTAAACAAGGGTTGAATTACCATTCCTTCAGGTCTCCTAGATATTATGTTTTTATCAGTGTGTCCTGCACACAGACATAAAAACATAAAAATAAAACTACAGTATAGGTGTATTCAAGTTCTTCTCATATTTCATTACTATAAGAATGGGTATTAAATTTCACATCCACCCCACCTTCCTCCCCAAGCAGAATTCCAAGCGGAAAAAAAAAAATTAAAATGAGCAGCCCCCCCCCCTTTTCTTTCTGTCTCTCACTCTTAAAGCAACACAGCCAGCTGAAAACGAAGGGGGGGAATAGCTTTCTCTCCTTCACATGAATTTGCCATACATTCTCTCACACATTCTCCATGGAACTCTTCTCATGCAAACACTTGCTAAAACAATAAAACCTGCAGTTTAGATGGGGGAGAAACTCACTCACACAGAGAGAGAGAGAGAGAGAGAGAGAGACAGGATCAGCATATCCATACATTCACTTCCATTCAAACTGCTTGTATAAACACTTTCACATAGGGATATTTTATTTCATACTTTCTCTTGACAAATCAATAACTATTATTATAATTTCAAGGAGCTGTTCAAAAGCCAATGAGCTCCTTTCCCTCCCCTAGTAAAAACTATCCTCTTCTTCCCACACTGAGTAAACTTGCTGTTCTCTCGCGCGTTTAGGGCAATTTTTTTTTTTTTTTAAAGTGGCCCTTCATTCCACATCCAAAGCACGTTGTCTCCTTATTCTGGTATCCACCTTGAAATCCTCCAAATTCCCTTCCTCTACTCCCATTAACATACTGGTTCCTTTCATCCCCCCTATATCTTGTCTCAAAGGGACTCTTCTTATCCCCAAACTCTCTTCTAGGAGGTTTTTCCTGCTTCATCACTTGCTGTACTGTTGCTACCATCATTTTACTTTCTGCCTTACTTTCTCTGAATATACACTTTCCTCCTTCTCTGGCTGTTGTTGGGGCCAGGTTCCAATTCCTCCCACCAAATAAAACAACATAAATTGACCATATCTTCTTTGTTCAACCCCAACCTCAAAATCTCCCGGTTATAGGGCGGGGATCCCCATCCAGCCAATATTTTGCCCAAAGGGCCATTCGGGTCGATTTTGAGTTTGGGGTTCTTACGGATCCTTTTAACACACTTTTTCCCCGAATTGGTCGACCTTGTATTTCCCCCCATTTCTTTTATGGGTGCTCAGCCTATCTTGAGTATGTGCGCCTGTGTCCCTCCCAGCAACTCCTTCCAGTTCCACACGTCACCGTCTCCGGATATTCAATAATATCCCCTTCACTCACTCCGTCCTGCAGACCTCCCCGAGGTCCCTCAAAAGGACTTCCACCCGGCCCCGTTGCCAGTTCTCACATCCACACACTCTATCCCGACCGCCCTGGACTCTTGTGTTCTGGTGTTTTCAAACCAGTACTCACCAGGGTCTGCGCGCAGATGTTACCCGGTCTGTCTTCAGGCTGTTCCGCACTTTATTCACCCTTCTCCTAATACTCGTCTTTATTGAAATTTTACGGGTTTTCCAAGAGCTCCGCAGTCCTCTGGGTGGTTCCCCTCCTTTCAAAAGGAAAGGGGTGCACCTAAGGAGGACCCCTCAGAGTCCCAGCGCAGATTGGATCCCGGTCGAGCCCCCAATTTGTTTGTAGAATTCCTTGAAAGAAATTCAGAGACGAGGTTCGGAGTAGCAGAATAAAGTTTCTTTTATTATCAAAAATCAAGTTTAGTAAAAGAAAACAGTTTGCAAAGCGTGGTGGAACTCAACCATGCACTCACAAGAGTTACAGGGAAAAGCCACACCTCCTACAGAAGCGTAACAGCAGTTATACCCCTCCCTAACTCCTCCTACACCTACGTCAGCTATTCCTGACGTGGCAGGTCACAAACCTATCAGACGACACAATTATCCTACCTTACCTCCTACCTTACCATATATGGGTATTCTTTTGTTCTCTACATGTGGACATTCTCTACTTAGTTTCAGGCACGTACTCATGTTTTCTTGCACATGCTCAGTGAGCCTGTTGCTGAATAGAAAATTTTAAACTTTTCTAAAACCTTCCCATTCATGTCCTTCGTCTGTCCACCCATTTATCAATTCTCTTTCCATCCATCTTTCTGTCGTCTCATCTGCCCAGTTAAAACAAGCAGGCTTCTATGTGATCTAGGATAGGGGTTCTCAACCTTGGCAACTTTAAGACTTGTGGACTTCAACTCCCAGCTTTGCTGGCTGAGGAATTCTGGGAGTTGAAGTCCACAAGTCTTAAAGTTGCCAAAGTTGAGGATCCCTGACTAGGAAGATGTCAGAGGCAGATATCACTTTGGTTAAGGAGAAGGCAATGTTAAATGATTCCTGTATTTTTACCAAGAAAACTACATGGATAAAATATAAAATGATTGATGATATAGTGCCAGATAATGAACCACACAGGTCAGATGATACTCAAAATATTACAAAGGAATTGGTGAGCATCTTGAAAAGTATTACCATATTTTCCGGCGTATAGGACGACTGTCTAAACCATGCAAATTTTCTCCGAAGTCGGGTGTCTTATACGCCGAGTCGTCTTATACGCTGGAAAATCCGGTAATTATGTTTTAAGACATGGCTAGATCAACATTTTCCAAACGTTTTTGATCATGGAGTCTCTTAAAAGGCATTCCTCCCCCCACTTCCCTGTGGAATTCCTAATTCTATTCCTGAGTTTTAATAAGCATTGTAAAGCACAATTTTTCCCTTCTTTCATCTACTCCTATTGCTTGAGTGTTTTGCATAGTACAGTAGGTTTGGAAATAAAGAGAAAGCACTTTAAATATAACTGCAAACCTCTATTTTGTTACAAGAAAACATTGGATATAACCACAAACATTTATTCTGGTGCAAGAAAATATTGGATTTACACCCAATATGATGAATGAAAAAGTTTCATTTTTATACTTTAGTTTTGAAATTAGGTTTTATGTCTAACAGCTAAATATGTAAATGTGGGGCAGCATACAATTTATGCCTAAATTTGTTTTTTAGTGTAAGCATAAGCTAGATGGTGACTATGGACCAGTTGAGGCGGAGGAGGAGGAGGAGGAGGAGGAGGAGGAGGAGGAGGAGGAGGAGGAGGAGGAGGAGGAGGAGGAGGAGGAGGAGGAGGAGGAGAAGGAGAAGGAGAAGGAGAAGGAGAAGGAGTCCTATGGATAAAAATTTATGTTGGAAATATGGTCACCATGATTGGTCATTCATCACACCTAGTGTTCAGTAAAAATGTTAGAACAAGTTCAAATACATATAATGACCCATTATATGTATTTTAAAATAATTTTAAATAAACAGTTTTCTTGCTGGGATTAATGGACAGTCAATTAGAAAAAAGCCATGGAAGATTATATTTATAAGTGATTACTGATGCAAAACAATTATTGTGCAAAAATTGGGAAGATTCAGAAATATCCACAATGGAGAAATGGTTTGAAGATGACAGAATAAGCAGAGATTACAATATTAACTTGTTTGATTAGAGAAAGATCAAAGATACATTTAACTGACTAAAAACTCAATCTAAGAATTTCTTGCTGAAAATATAGAACAATGAATTTCTAATTTATGGGCTTGGGGATTAGAAAGGATAGTGTATGGAAAGAAAAAAGTTATGATATAAACTGAGACACAGAAGGTAAAATTTTCATTGTTTTTTTATTAAAATGTCTTCAATAAAATTATATTTTTATAAAAAATTGCTTTGAAGTCTTGAACTTCATTGATAAAGAACTAGAGGAATTATAGAATGAACTTAAAGAAAATTGTTAAGAATAAATGTGAAAAGAGAATAAGAGAGAGAGAGAGAGAGAGAGAGAGATGACAAAACAAGTAGTATAAATTGCCAACAAGCAAAAACCAAGAAAAAAAATCTCAGAAAAGAATTTAACAGTTTCAGACAGCTGTTAGAAGGGATAAGAATCATTTGTAAAGACAGAATAGAATAGAATAGAATAGAATAGAATAGAATAGAATAGAATAGAATAGAATAGAATAGAATAGAATAGAATAGCTGGTGCTTTGGATAATAGTTTAATGCCCTCTTCTTTGTGGTAGCCCCTCAAATACTGGAATACTGCTGTCATGTCACCCCTGTTTCTTCTTTTTTTAGACTAGCCAAACCTAGTCCATTCTTATGCCCTTCTTCATATGTTTTAATCTCCAGGTCTTTGATCATTTTAATTGCTCTTCTCTGAACTTTTTCCAAAATCTCAACATCTTTTTTGTAGTATGGTTGCAGTATTCCAGGTGTGGTCTTACTAGGGTTTTATAAAATGGTACTAATACTTTGTGTGATCCTGATTCTATGCCTCTGTATATACAACCTAGGATTATATTTGCTTTTTTGGCTGCTGCTGCACACTGCTGGTTCATAGTCAGGTGATCGTCCACTAGGACTCCAAGGTCCCTCTCACCGTTACTTTTTTTTGAGCCAGGTCTCACCTAATCGGTACTTACATCTTTGATTTTTCCTGCCTAAATGTAAAACTTTGCTTTTCTCCACATTAAAATTCATATTGTAGATGGAAACAGGCATGGTAAAACAAGAGAAGTTATTCAAAAGATCAAAGATCCAGTCTTGAAAGCTTGGTATGCTAAAAGATGTTAATCAAAAGATCACAACCAATTCAAAACAGAACAAAGGAAGATGGAAGGAATATGCTGAAATATTATACAGTAGACATGTAAACATGTAAGATGCCTTAAAAGATATTCAAGAACTACTAGTGCTATAAAATCATACTCCAGTTATTAGAAAGACAGAAAGGTACAACAATTCATGGAATACCCATTGAAATATGAGAAGCAACAGAACCTGAATCAGTCAAGTTTCTAACCAATTTATGCTAGCAAAACTGGAGAATAACACAGTAGCCAACCAATTGCAAGAGATCAATTTACATTCCAATACCAAAAAAGAAGATTTAACTTCACACACTAGCAAAATAATACACAGGATCATCCAATGCAGACAGTGATGGGATTCAGATATGTGAACAACCAGTTCTTTGTGTGGATGCCACTTCTGGAAGTCCATTCTGGGCCTCAGTAACAAAAAATTAGCTATTGGTTTTGCCAAAGTGGTGTGAACCAGCTGAATCCCACCACTGAACGTAGATTAGCTCCTATGTAGAAAAAGAGATGTCAGATGTTCAAGTTGACTTTAGAAAAGGGCAAGGAACATGAGATATTATTGCTGATTCATAGTGGATAATTGAGAAAGCCAAAGAACACACACAAAAAAGAAGTCATTATGTGCTTCATCGATTATAGAAAAGCTTTAGATTATGTCAACCACATTAAGCTATGTAAAGAGCTCAGGAAAATGATAATCCCCAAAATGATAATCTCACTGTCCTCATAAGAAATGTACATATGGTTCAGGAAGCTATAGTAGGGACAGAACATCAAGACATAGGCTGGTTCCAGGCTGACAAAGAAATGTAACAAGACTGCATATTCTTCCCTCATTTATTTAACATTTATACTGAATATGTGTTAAGAGAAGCTAGATTGGAAAAATGTAGGTGTTGTTTTAAAACTGGAAAAAGAAACATGCTGATTATACTACCCTGATAGCTAAATAGGTAAAGATACTTCAAGCTCTAGTACTGAAAATAAAAGAGAACTGTGAAAAATGGGGTCAATAAATAAATATAAATCAAAATAATTATAATAGATAGAACAACCAGCCTGAGAATTGACAATGAAGATTTAGAATCATCCATCAAAGTAGGACTGGGTAGAGCAGCCACGAAAGAAAAGATATTCACATGCCATGATGTAATATTAGAATTATGTAAGCCATGGCAGTCCTGTGACACTCCATGGATGCAAAAATGAGACTTTAAGAAGGAATAGGAAAATGGGAGGATAGGAAGAGCATTAACTTTAATGTTGGAGAAAACTCATGAGAATTCTAAGAAAAGAAACTGATGGATCATTGAGCAAATCAGCCTAGAATTCTCACAAATGACCAGCCTCAAATTAATCTACTCCAGACACATTAGCAAAATCCCAGCTCTCTGGAAGAGATTGTAAAGCTGGAAAAGGTAAAGAAAAAGAAGAGGAAGTCCAGCAGCAATGTGGATGGACTCAGTTACAGTGAGAATGAATACCCCATTAGGAGACTTGAAATAACAGGGTAAGTCCTAAGTTATAATGGAAGAAGATCTATCTTTGTGATTGCTTGGAGTTGAAAACAATTTGATGGGACATAACCAACCAAAACAGGACCAGTTCCAAACCACCGTTATATGTGGAAGGGGACATATAAAGAACCTACTTTCCATAGAGTAGAAGACTTTTGTTTGGAATACTATGGTCCAAAATAAAATCTGAAAACTGAAATACATCACTCTGGGGAAATTATGACTATGTGACCAGACTAGCTTTAAATAATCATTGGTAGATTCCTGGAGGAGGTACTGTCAGATAAAGAATAGTAATACATATCATTGATTTTTTATCAGATTGTAAAAAATCCAAAGTAGTCACAACTTTAATAAATTATCCAGAGATGTACTAAGGATCATATTACTATCTCGGTAAACTGTTTTGTTACAAGGCTGACTTGCTTTAAAGAGCTCTATAAATTACAACATTTTCTTTAGTGGCTGTTTGAAATTACTATGGCAATAAAAAAGTGACTTATGACTATTTTTCACACTTAGGACCATTGCAGCACCCCCCAAGTCATGTGATCAAATAGGATGGTTGTATTGGGATCACCTTTGTGATCTTTTGACAAGCAAAGTCAATGGAGAAGCTAGATTCATTTAACAACCGTGTTACTAATTTATCAGTTACAGTGATTTACTTAACAACTGTGGCAAGAAAAGTCGTAAAATGGGGCAAAACTCACTTAACAACTGTTTCACTTAACAAAATAAATTCTGGCCTCAGTTGCAGTCATAAATCAAGGATTACCAGTAAAAACTTAAAATATGGCTATTACTTAGTTCTTCATGCAAACTGGAAAATGCATTATGATTGGATTTTTCATGGTACGTAACTCATCGCTATATTGCTTTTCCATAGATTGGAATGCAGCAGCAATATGAACTTGGGCAATATATAAAGAAGAGATATTCAGATTTTCTGAGTGCTAGTTACAAAACAGAGGAGGTGAGTACAAAAACATAAAAAAAGTTTTATCCAATTTTAGTCATATATAGCTCAAAACATCAAAAATTCAGAATTTTGATGCCCACAGATAAATTATACATGTTCCCTATATAATGTTTATCACACCTACAGACATAGCTTCAGAGAGCCAGCAATTTACAGGAACTGTAGATGGATAAATGTAATTTTCTGGATATTTTATCTATTTAATATACTTGTCTGCTTGTTTGCCAGATTTCTGTCGCCAGGAGAGATTAAGACATCATCCAATTTTTCCCTCAACAGCAACATGTTAGGAAAAGTTGGGCAAAATCATTCGTACACTTCTATGGTTGAGGGTAGATTTGAATCTGGGTTTCCTCAGTCTTCATTCAAAATTTTAAGAAATATCACATTAATATTTAGACATTTTTAACGGAGGTTTCAACTCGCTTCATCTTTCATGGAAGCTTCAAGAACAGATTGCTTAAAGTAGAGTTCTTTTTTCTGTTCTGGGACATATTTGAACTGTTAAGTTCTCATCATATAATTTTTCAGAAAACGCTGCCAAAAAGGGCACACCTATTCACAAAAGTATAGTCGTTGTACATATAAACAAGTATACTCAGTGAAAGAAATAAATTAGTAATACCAAGTGCCTCTCATTAAGGTATACATATTAAAACTAAAGAAGCAGACTAGCTAAAAAGAAAACACTATTTTCTACCACATCTACTCTACCACATCTCTGTTTCCACAGGTTGTTCTCCACTTCAGTACACTATACTATACTCAGGCTGAACTTTCTTTTCTCTAGCTGGGCAGGCAAAATTCAGAAAAAAAATACTAAGTTGCTGTGACATAATGGTCTTTTATTTCTCTTAGATCTTAATCCAAAGCACTGAAATTGATCGAACCATCATGAGCGCCCAAGCAAATCTTGCTGGTCTGTTCCCTCCTACTCATGATCAAATTTGGAATCCTGAACTCCTGTGGCAACCAGTCCCAGTACATGTCGTCCCAAAGGCAAGCAGTCCAGTGAGTATCAGTAATATAAACTGTTCTTCCTGGTTTTTTAGGCATTTTTTCTGTCATGCAGACATTTTCAATTTAACACACCTATCTCTCCAAACAAATGAGGTTTATAATCAACTCAAAGTTTTCCTAGTAAACAGTAGACAGTTACAAGCCCTCTTTCCAAGTTTATCTACACAGTCTACAACACTCTAGCTATTGGTTTCATTATTGGACTTGAACAGTAGGAGTTAGATTTCAAGCTCCTTATGCCAAGACAAAAGGACAAGTTGTCTACTACCAATAGCACAGGAATTCCCCTGCCTGGTCATATTATTTGATCTGCTAAATATTTAAATATCTGAATGTAAAATAACCAGATCTTGGGCATGTCTCCATTCATAAATATATTCTGTTCCATTCCTGCATTATATCAAAATATTTAAATATGCATTGACATTTTAAATAAAATCCTATGCATTTTAACATAGAAAAACATTAATAAATATTTGAAATATCAAAGTATTTATTTCTAAATACATTTACTATTCAACGTGCATTTTTATATTTCTTACAGTATGCTTCGAGTATGGAACTGGAATTTTAAATTTTAAATTTGGGTATTAACTGCAGAGGGGAAAATTAGCCTATGTCCTTAAATCTCCAAAATCATTGGTGTGTAAGAATTTTTATTTGCATGTTGTTCTTAACTACTGTAGTCTGCTTCTTGTTACTGAACATTTTAGTTTTTGGTTAAAAGCAACTCAGAAAATTATAATTGCCTAATCATGCTCTATCGTTGTTTGAACTATAACTTGATATTTTTATGTAATATAGCCAGCAATGCAGTGCAATCCATTTAAAGTATCTACAGTTATATTCTCATGCACTAGAAACATGCATTGAACTATTATACTGATTATAGTAGTCATTTAGTGACTGCCTCTTTATTTTCAATAAAGCAATGGTAAAGAAGCAAGGTCTGAACCCAGTGTAAGGAATTATCAAAAAAAAAACCTTAAAGATGAAGAAAAAATTAGTAACAGCATATTACAGTCTCATTGTTTTATTTCAGAAACTACGCTATCCAATTTTTCAATGTCCACGCTACATAGAGCTTTTGAAGAAAACCGTAGCATCAAATGAATTCCAGGAAAAAATTAAACCATATGAGGTAATAAAAACATAGTTACAAGGATAAAGGTTGTCTTAAAATATTACTTGTTGAAGTATTATTTACAACTAAAAGAAGAATGTTACAATGCAAGTTAGGTTGCTTAACCTCTTCCAATAGGGCATCTATCAAGTATGTTTGCCATACAGAATGGGTATCCTGGGCACTATTGGAAGGCATTGTGTGGAGGAAAGATACTTAAGTAGCTTTTCTATATTTTGTTCCCACCTAAAGTGACTCGTCATTCTCACACCTGGTAGGATCAAACAAAAAGGTCTTGGTGCTTATAGTAAGCAAGCAAAAATAATTATCATTACTGTGTGGGATAACTGTACTGAAAGAGGATTGTCTCTTCCAATGCCATCTGTGGATGAAGTGCTTTCTTAATTGTCAGAGATGTGTGAAATTTACGGAGCATGTATTGTATAGAAGAGGACCAATAATGATTGTGCTAGTTCAATAGTATGCATGCGCACACATGCACACATGGAAAAAATGCTCCATTGTAATGCTGCATCCTGTTACTCCATCAGAAAAGAGACTTAAGACTTAAGTTTAAGAGAGAGAAAAAAATAATTTCCTGACATTGACCTACTGAAGTGTCGGAAGAAGAGTTTTCATCATGATTCATCCAAGCCGGGGATAAACAACATGGCGACTGTTTTAGAAAGAAAGTTGCAGTTTATTGAAGAGCCAGACAGAAAGATGGTTCTGGCAGGAAAAAGGAGAGAAAAAGGGCTAAGCACATGTGGGGAGTGTATTTTTATACCCTCTGAAGCCTTTTGTTTGGAGTTCCTGTGACATGAACTTTGAGGCTATTTCCTGTGTCATGTATTCTGACCTGAGTTTGGGTGTGCCCTTTGGCCTTTGTGAGTTAATCCTACCATGTCCTGTCTCAGGTGGGGTATGCAGATTCTAGGTCTTTGTCTTCCTAAGCTTCTAGCCGGGCCCTCCTATATCTGCATTTGTACAGAGCTTGGGGGAGGGAGAGCTGGGGCTATTAAGCAAACTGGGCATGCTTTTCTATCTCTTGGAGGAAATATATTTTTCTGCCCTTTTAATATTTTCTTCTCTGGGGGCTGACTTCTCACAGAAGGATGACCAGCATTTTGAGTCCCAAGAAGCTGAAAATCTGCTATAAAGCAGGGATGCACACTATTGGTACTTTCTATGTATTTTCTTGGGGTTGTCTGGTAGTTGCATATTCCCAGGAAAATAAGCATTGAGTCAAGGTAGTGCCAGTGCCTGCTCCAAAGTACCCTTTTGTCTTTGGATCTGAAACAGTGCATCTCCTTAACGTATTATATTTTACTTTATATTTTAAAGTATAAATCAAATGCAATGCATCCAACTATTTGATTGGCCAGAAAGGGGTTATCATTGGATAGATATTTTCATTAGTTTTCCAATAGGTCACTAAAAATGACTAATAGGAAATATTTTATTGGAAATTTATATATGCTATACCAATCTTTGCTTTCATGCCCAAAATTCAAAAGTATCAATTGTGAAGTGTCAATCCGTTTTGATTTGTCTGAAACAGAAAATTACAGTTGATAGATTCAGAACTGGTTAGGTTCTTAAACAATGCTTTAAACTTTGCTTAGAAAAGAGGACAGGAAGAGGAATGCAATGATTATTCATATCTCAACTTTTAACAATTAACCTAGGCAATAATGTTGGACTACAGCAGGTTTTTCCAACCTAATGCCACCCAGATACCTTAGCCTTGCAGTCACATAATTCCAAATTTGACTTGCTTTTAGCTAAGTATTATGGGAGTTGAGGTTCAGTTCAGCTCAGCTGAAAGGCATTCTGTTGGAAAAGACTGTTTTAGATAATATACAATTTCAGCCCTGCAAGTGATTAGCTTATTTAGTTCCAAGGACTATAACCTGATCTGAATATACTTGTATACAATCCTGTTGTAGTCCTGTATATCATATCAACAACCTGCACGAGCATGTATCTTAGTGTGCTGCTTTACCTTTTAAGGATGCTGTTCTTATCTCTTTTCAGAAATTCATCAAAACAATGGCTTACTATTCAGGTTATAATGCTTCAGTTCTCAAGAATCCCATGAATTTTAAAATCTGGCATGTACAAGATACACTATTTTGTGAGGTATATTTTTTAATAAATTAATATTGCAACTACTTAGGCTGTTTCAAAAGATAGAATTTTTTTTCAATTATTGAATAATGTCTAAATGTATATAGGAAGCAGTGGTAAGATCAAGCATAGTGGATTAGGAAATCATGGCATATTCTGATGAAATATAAGGGCATAACAATTACTTCATTTGAGAAAATAGATTGGAAAGGTAGGTATTAACTGTAGTTCATTACCCTGTTTGCCTGAATGGATCAGTAGGATGAAAGATAAAGTTAAGCAATGCAGCCAAGCAGAGTTTTGATATTGATTCAAGTGAATTGAACAATTATAACACTATTAAACTGAATTACTTACTTGTTTTAGCATATCAAATTGAATCAAGTGCCTTCAAATCTATTTGGCAATTCAACAGACTTTTGGAAATGTAGTCATAAATTGTACACATTTTACCTATGTAAAATTTTGAATCAATTAAACAAATTAAATAGATTTAGGAGAGATTTAGGTTTAGTAAGATAGATCTTTTATAATGGTAAAACATAAGCCAAAGTTTATAAACCATAATGTCTCCTTTCATCATTATCTTATTATTACATTTTCTATATTATTCTTGCATTATTATATCATTCATGAAATATGATCACTATGATATGAACACAGGGAAGAAGTACTGATTAAATATCAAATCATGGCTTAACATTATAAGAATTAGTACTGATGGGCTCATAGAGTCCTTTAACTCCTGTCATGTCACTAGGAGTAATGAAAGTTCCTTGCTTAATATAAAACTCAGATTTGCAATCCTAGTGTTCAGCAAAAGTACCATGAGTCATAGTTGTTTATTCTGCATTAAGATCATAATTTTATAATTGTGACAAGAAAGAAGCAGAGATTCTCAAATGCTCACTCATACAATTAATCATACAATAGTATTACAACTCAAAAAAAAGTTACATCAATTATACTAGTGTAGCCTGAATAGAATGAGAAATGTTTCACTGAATATCAAAGGATTTTCAAATTACTTTTCTGGTTCCTCCGTTTAATCTGACTCTGTTGTGCATGAAACTTCTGTATTTTGCCTATTTTTTGCAATGATGTTTATTGCCTATAATTTCTATTGCCTGAAAATTAACATTACCAAAGATAGGATATTTATTAATAATTTAATTTGCAAAAGCTACAGTTTGTTTAGTGAGTAAAGATATTGAATGAAACAAAGTCTAGGATTTCCTATCGGGGCTGCTGGCATTCTGTCAAAAACAGAAAACAAATTCCAGAGCTAGGGAGACAGGAGAAATTTAAAAGATGATCAGATGACAATGTTATCTGTCAAAACCAGGCAACTATGTTTTTTGGCTAAATAAAAGAGCATTTCAGATTTTAGAAACATCCTGTTCTGTTTTAGACTCCAGAATATAGATAATCTTCAAATTACAATTACAACTGAGCCCAAAATTTTTGATGATAAGTGAGACAGTTATTAAGTGAGTATTGCCCCCTTTATGACCTTTCTTGTCACAATTGTTAATTGAATCACTGCAGTTGTTAAATTAGTAACATGATTGTTAAGTGAATCTGGCTTTGCTTATCAGAATATTGATTATCTTCTGAAAAGGTGATCACATGACTCTGGGACATTGTAACTGTCATAAATTTGAATCAGTTGCCAAGAATCTGAATTTTGATCCTGTGACCATGGGGATGCTGCAACAGTCGTGTGAAAAATGATTATAACTCATTTTCAATACCATTGCAAATTCAAACAGTCACTAAATGAACTGTTGTAAATCAATTTACTATCTGTAAATAACTGAGGTTCCTTCTAAACATGAGATTGATCCTGATCCTGATCTATTAACACATTACACTAAAGTGTGGTTTGGTTTGTTTGACAAAGTTTTGCAGTGCAATATCCAGCAATTGTTTTTTTAAACTATAGTCTATAACTTAACATGCTATTATACGAGCCAAGCCATTTGTAGTTTGTTAAACCATGATTAACTAAATCATAGTTTTGTGTGATGTGCAAACCTATCCATGTTTGATACATGTTTGAACAACTGCTAAAGATTAAGGTGAAGAGAAACAAACCAAACATCCAAAGTGTTTAACGGACAAAGGACTTAATATGATACTTTTTAAAATTGCAGTCTATTCACAATTATACATTACCTGAATGGGCAACTGAAGATGTAATGACAAAGTTGACAGAGCTTACTGAATTATCCCTATCATCATTTTTTGATATTTACAAGAGAAAAGAAAAAGCACGGCTTCAAGGAGGTAACAAATGCATATTTTTATATCATGTGTTCTTGTTGAAATGAGCCACAGAATGCTTGGATTGATGTTCCCTTAATTAACAGCTGATGGTTTAATCAATAGAGGGCAGTCATCAATGAAGGATTTTAATTGATAGAATTACGAATCAAGTTTGTTTTCACAGTTATTTGAGCTCTGGTAGTTCATTGTAGTGGATATTGGAGCTATCCCTTACCATTCACTATTATGGATGAACGATACAAGTTCTTGAAGCTTCTAAGGTGCAAAACACCACACTATGCTTTCCAAATATCTCTTGGAAGTAGCTAAATAGACAAAAACATTTCCAACTATAGGCATGTGGTTCAAATGTAAGATCTGTTATAAGCCATGATGATGTCAAAATGATATGAGCATCATGACAACACAAGTCACAAAAGTACAAATAATACATTTCCATGTTATGCTACGACTTCTGTACATAAATGCAAGTACATAAATTTACATCATTTGTGTGATGGCATTATGATATGTGTTAAGCACCTTCTCTTGCCCCCATTGTTTCAAGAATTTTGTTCAAACAATAGAATATTTTAAATTTGATGAAAAGATTGATTACTTTTAAGTAGCTTTATTCTACCTCCTGCCTCTTTTCTTATGCTGCAAAAAGTAGGTGCTTGCTTTATCCTTTCAGTAATAAAAAGCTTTTAAATTATAGAAAATTTTGCTTGGGTCTTGTCAACTGACATTTAACCTTAGTGCATTTAACTCTAGTTAGTTAATAAGATTAAATGGGCTGATTTACTTTTAATGCCAAATCATAAACCATGGTTATAAATCATATTCATAATTCAGTTTGTTTAACCATGGTTTAATAAATTTTGACAATATCACATTCAGCTGTAAGCCATGGTTTACAAACCATAACTCATTGGGGTTTTGTTTATGGCACTTAAGTGTAGTATCATTTTATGGATTAGCACACTTGTTAACCCAGTTAACAAGAAGCCCTGTTCCAAACCAGACCTTTTGAATCCTGACAATGGCCTGCAGAGTCTCTTCTAGAGAAGGCAAATCATTTCAGAGTCATTCTGAACCAGAGGTTCACAACCACCTAAACCTTAGTGACTTCCCATTTGGATTCTCGCAACGTGGTCTACATGGGGCTGTCCTTGAAAACCATGTGGGAGCTTCAATAGATCTAGAATGCAATAGCATGCCCTGTTTGGGTAACCCACAGGTCATCCAAGTCACATTACTGCTATGTGAGCTTCACTGGCTTCCAGTTGCATTCTGGGTGCAATTGGTTATATCCTTTAAAGTCCTACATGGCACAGAGCCAAGTTACCTGCAGGACTATCTCTCCCTATCTGTTCTACTAGGTTAGATAGGAAGGTGCCTTCCTGTTCCCCTCACTTAAATGTTGCCATTTAGCAAGCAGTGGGACCTCAGAAGCATGCTTTCTTTTAGCCAGAAGGCCACGAAGACTTGACTTTTCCCCCTGCGAGGATGATTGGTTTGGTTGCTGAGGGAAACTTTTAACTGGTTTTTTTTTTTTTTGTACATTGTTCTGAACCCCTTGAAATCCTCATATAAACTAGGCAGCTAAATAACTCCTGTAAATTAATTAATATTGCAAACAACGTATCAGACAGATGCAATGTGAGACCAGTAAGACAAATAGGACTACTATTCTTGTTGATTTTTAAAAATTTGCTTTCCTATTATATTATTTGCTATCAGTTGTAATAAAATAAAAAAATTGAAAGAAAAGGAAGTCAGACACCTTTGTAATTGCCAAATGACAGCCTCCCTCCCTCCCTCCCTCCCTTCCTTCCTTCCTCTCATTTCAAGACTGACTCCGGGTGCTGTAATATAAAGGGAAAAACAACAAAAGTAAACATAAAAGGGGAAAACAGCTAGATTGTCAGATTGCCAGGTGCTGTACCATAAAAGACTTTCTAGGATATCATCAGCACCTTGAATTTGCTGAAGGTCCCAGAAGCACCCAGTTCACTGGTAGCCAGTGCAGATCACATAACAAAAGTCCTATATGGCCATTTCAGGGTATGCTTGCAACTATTCATGCCATTGTATTCTAGACCAGCTGAAGTTCCAAGTAGTCTTTAAGAGAAGTTCCATGTAATGCCTTGCAATATAATCTGCATCCAAAGTGACCAGGCACAACTAATCATGAGAAAGAACTTCTAGTCCAGAAAGCAGCACAACTGGAACACTAGATGAGTTTCTGCAAAGAACTTCCTGGACACAGCTGCTATCTATGATTCATGCAGGAATTAGAACCAGGAGAAATCCAAATTCTGTATTACTTCTGTGTGGGAAAATGTTACTTCATCCAAAATCGAAGACAAAATAATACTGAAGAAAATGCACCCATAGCTATTCAATAAACTTCAGTTTAAGCCTGCCTATCCAGACTAACAGCTGAGATAAGACTCAGCAGCATTTATGATCAAGCAGGGATTGAGATATAAAGCTAAATATCATCAGTGTACTAATTATGCCTGATTTCATGTCAACAGATGATCTTACCTAGTGTACTGATTCATGTAGGTGTTGAAAGGGATGGGTGAGATGAAAAGCATTCAGAGATTTCACAAAACAGGAGCTTCAGGGTGAACCTCTCTATGTTTGTCAACACTGACTAGAAATAGTTGTGGAGAAATGAGAATGTCTGTGGCTCCCACTTCCAACCTCAGAGCCATCCAGAAGGCTACAATAATTGATAGTATCAAAAATTTCTGGAAAATCAAGGAAAAGCTAGCAATACCATCCACATTCCAGTTCTTCCAAAGGATATCAGCAGAAGCAATCAATGCTGTCTCTGTATATAACTTGGATTGAAATTCAACTTAATTGGACCTCAGATAGTCTACTTCTCTCAGGGCCCTGTGGAACTATAATCTCTGACTTCTGAACTATACCCAGAAATGGAAGTTTGGAGATTTGGACCCTTGCATTAAAGTATGTAAAAATGGACAATTATTCAGTGTTAATATATGCCATATTCTCTTTAATGAAATGGGCCAGAAGGCAATGGTTTGTTAGTTTAAAGGATGAGATTTACAGGATTTGAAATTAATCCATTTTTTTTATTCCACCTAAATCTTTGCTAAAATCATCTACACTGTGACAGCTAAATCAGTGGAGAAGTGTCATTACTCCAGATTCATTTTTGTTGCACTTCACTGGCGTACTTATATAGCTATTCTGGTATATTTAACCACATATTAGCTGTCTCATACCTGTATTTAGAGCTTTCATTATACTCCACAGTACAATAAACATGAACAAAGTATAAGTTGCTATCTAAATCTTTTCCATTGAAGTCCTAGAGTGTTAAAATCTTTACTTTGACTGTATCATTCCTTATATTTTTAATTTTGTCCTCACAAGTTACATTATTGATGCTTGCATCATTACATTTATAATGAATGTGTTTATAAGTACCTAATTCGCAGATGTATGTAATGGCAAATTATTATGAATCTAGCAGAATAATAATATCGAATTATTGAAATTATTAAATTAGAAGTCATAAGAAATCTTTTTTTTTATTAAAAAGTTTTATAAATTTTACAAAAAATAAAAGACAATACAAAAACAAAAAACAACATATACAGATAAAAAACAAACATTACCCAACAAAACCCCCCTTCCCCCACCCCTACCCAAACCCCCCCTTCCCCCCCCAGGGCCTCCCAGAGCAGAATATAGGCTTAATTAAAAAAAGTTAAAAAAATTTATATTTATAAAAAAAAGAGAATATAAGATAGAAAAAAAATATATATATAAAGTTAAAAATTATGAAAAAGCTATATAGTATTTTTTATATCAAATTTAAATTGTATGAATTTTATCCATTTATCCCAAACAGCAAGAAATTTCTCTTGCGTTTGCCCCTTTAAGAAAGCCGAAATCTTTGCCATTTCCGCCAAATGAGACACTTTAAGAAACCATTCCTGCAATGTAAGCAAAGATTCCTTCTTCCAATATTGTCCTACTAACAGCCTCGTAGCTGTAATCAAATTTAACATCAATATAACCTCCTTTGTATCACAATCAATAACTATACCTAACAAAAATAATTGTGGAGTAAATTTTACCCTCCTTTTAAAGATTCTCTGGATATTCCACCATATCTTAATCCAGAATGCTTTTATCATAAGAAATCTTGAAATGTATTTCTTATGGACAATATGCTTTATTTATATCTATAACAGGACAGCTGCTTAAGCTTGTTAATTTGCATGTTTATGCTTCATTTTGGTTTAATTGCTGGAACTAGCATACTTATATATTATCATTCATTAGTTTCTTTAATAGATTCTTTTTATAATCAGGATCTAAATTCTACCTGCCTTCCTACTTAAGCATTAGGAATATTTATTAATAACACTTATGTTTCATTAAGGCCTCCTTGTGAAAGATATTCTACAAAAGTTCTCAGAAGCTCAATTTCCACAGAAAAGAAAGATGGTAGTCTATTCTGCAGTAAGTATCTTTAAAATTCAGCCAGCAGCCAACCAACCAACTATAGGATGCAGACACTGATAACAATTCTGCTGCTGAGCCACAATTTAGGAGGATCACAGTCTTTATTAAAGTGATTTTGAACCTTTTGGGCACGAGGGACCGGTTACATGGAGAGAGGGTTTTTGCATGCACCAGAGGGAGCGTGATTTTGTATGCTGCCTGCATCCCACACATGGGGCTTTGCTTGTTTGTGCAGACTGATTGCTGGCATGCCGTGGTCCAGTACCGTTCCACGGACCAGGGGTTGGGGACCCCTGGTCTAGTCTCTTAATTTGGATGATAGAGAATTATGATAGAATAATAAAATTGATTGAGAGACTGACTGGTTAATTAATTAATTGTATTCCATCAAGTTACTATCAATTCTTAGCAACCATATCAATACATTTTCTCCAAGACAACTTAGTTCCAACTTAGTCTTTTTTGAATACAGGCACTATCAATCATCAGACTTCATTATGGCTTGTTCTGACTACCTCATTATCTCTAATTTTTTTCATTCGTTTCTTCTCTAATAACTAGAGCGATGTTTTTCCAATCTGGGAGCTTCATTATTTGACCTCAAATTTGTCTTAATGTTTTACTTATTCAGTTTTCCTGGCAACATTAGTCTTTTGCCTTCTTCTGGGTTTGAGCTGATATTTCCTTTTCTAGGTTTCTCTCATGACTACCAAAATCACCTGCTTTTGTCTCCATTATGAATTACTTTAATCAATCTCCTTCCTTCCCCTTCTGACCTACAGAAAACACCATATGTTCCTGCCAGCATCCTTTCAATATTCCTGAAAATATTGAGCCCTCATTTTACATTACGGTGGTAATTCCCTGGCCTTGTTTTAAAGATACTAGAGTCCTACTTGTAAAATGCATAAGATAACCTCTAATTAATGCATATATCTGTGTGCATGTGGAGCAAAGAAAGACAACATTTGTTATTTACTATAGAAAAAAATAATTAAAGGAAGAGGTATTCTCAGTTTAACAATATTAGACATATACATATCAGCATGTAATTCTATTCACAATAATATTAACAAATACCTTTCTCTCTCACTTTACAGCATGACACTACTTTAGGTGCTCTGCAGATGGCACTCAATATATACAATTATAAACTGCCACCTTATGCCTCTTGCCAGATTTTTGAACAATATGAAGAAGAAAATGGGCAAGTACAGTATTTAACATAGGGAAGGGAATACTTGTGAAATCAATTCAATTTTTCCTAGCACCTGGATATCCCCCCAAAATGCAGCTTTGGTGGGCAAATATACAAAAACATTAGAAACAGGTTATTTGTGAATGCATATTCATTCCAAGATTGGGTGATCAGTATCAGGTTCACAGATTTTTCAACACACACACACACACACACACACACACACACATTCCACTACCTGTCCAAAACTTTATTTTTCCACAACCTAATGTGGAATGGCTTTGTAATTATTGCTTCTACTAAAGAAACAAGGAATCAAAATCCTGCAGCTCACCCAGAAATACACTAGTAGATCCTGAGCTACCTTATTTCTATACATACTGTGATCTTCAGCTACGACTGACAAATCTGAACTGCAAAAATAAAAAAGAAGTTTTCAGCATCTATATCACAGGGATGTGGAGTTTTGCAGTTGATCTGGTAGCTTTATCCTTAACAATCAATAGATTTTTGTTATCAGATGATAGCATCCATGCATTTTCGCTAAGAGTAGGCAAATATTTTGCATTGATGGCCACATTTTGAATGTTGAGTGCAAGCTAGGGCTTGAGATGAAATAGTACTATATTACAGAGGAAGAATTTCCCTATTCACAAAATAGAGGATGTCACAAACATCAATTTATTAATAGGTGAACAGGAGAGATTTATTTCTGCTTTTCCGTCCAGGGTGCACCCTGTTATGGCATCATCCCATAGGGATACTTTGCAGCAGCAGCTTCCTATGGCTTTCCTTCAAACAGAAAAGCAAGAGAAAACTAGAACTTAATCTTCAAATATCCATGAGCTAATCTTTCTATGCTAAAGTAGTAGCTTTCTGGGGCAGTTCTCTTCTGGAGCAGTTTAGAACAGTCTCATGAAATGATACTCCTCTGTATATCGGAAAGCTTAAGAATCAGGTAGCCATACTGTAGTTCCATATGACTGAATTATATTTCTCATTTCTAGAATGAATTTTTAGATCTGTACTGCATTTCTGAAAAAGATCCTTCAACATGTCATTTCCCCCCCCCCCCATCTTTTCCCCTGGCTTCTGTAAATCAGAGTTCACACTATTGAAATGTATTTTCGAAATGACACTTCAAAAGAACCTTATCCCATTACTCTGCCTGGCTGCTCATGTGCATGTCCACTACAACAGTTTACAAAACTAGTTTCTCCCATCTTGGTAGACAACTGGGAAAAAGAGTGTGAGAAGATAGACATTGATGAAGGTAATCTTACTATTATGTTATTAAACATTATTATTGCTGTTGTTCAATCTTAGCAAACCATGTAAGATGCTGCAAACAGAAGTGATTGTATAATATTATAAATAATATAATTTGACCTACAATTGGAAACCAGCTGTGACTTTTAGATTGTTATTAAAGCACATCCTACATCTAAAGAAAATGCATATGCAGTTTCATATCCTATGACATTAAGCTTTCCTTCTCATCAGTTATTGACATAAACAACTTCCCCATTGGAGGGAGATTAAATCAGACTATTGGCTAGTAGTTATGGACTTAAATGTTTTGTTCAAGTTCTAGAAGATCTCAGAGAAGCAATTTCTTGTTCTGAACTGGATTCATTGTGGGATCACTCAAGAAAAGTAGATTTGGTCTTCTCACCAAGATCATAAACAAAGATTTGGATGACAAAATTTCCCAAATTTTGGACATGTTTGTTTCTTTCATCACCTCCTAAGTGGAGATTATAGCTACAGACTAAACTATCAGTATCATCAAAACAGAGTACTATTTGCATGACTGACTTGTATTTTTTGGTATAGTAGTTGAGTTGAAAAACAAAAATGAATCCTACTTTTGTCTTTTCAACTAAAGTCTATCATATGAGTTAATATTGCTGATGTTATGTTCTATTGTGTTATGGTACTGCTTTAGAAAAAAAATAGCTCCTGTAGCACATCTCCATTTTTTCCAGTTAATATATATTTTAAGATAATCATAAGGAATTTTGACACCCAAAATTCCTGTAAATACAGAATTCCTGCCCCATAGCTAAACAGTCTTCAGCAGTCAATTTAAAGACTACTTCTGGCAAAACAATTCATTCAAAATGAGGGAATAATATATATATATCATCTTCACTCAAAAATGGAGTTGTTTTCCATGAATGATGTTATACAGCCAAGCAGGATTAGCTGTGTTTGATTATGTTGAACTTTTTTTGACATTAATTATATCTGATGATTGCTTGGAAAGAAACATAACAAACAGAAACAAGAAAAAGGCAAGTGAATTAAAAAATAACAGTGATAGCAGCACAAGGGACTTAAAAAACAGTTGTGTACATGAAAGCAATAAAACAATATGTACTAATTTTCTTTAGTTATACTATTCTATCACCCTGGAAACAAAACTATGCAAAGCAAAATATGATAATGTTTGATCAATCTTCTGTGTAGCCTGTATATTTTATCAGGCTGGAGTATACTTGGCACCAGCATTTGGTGGATTCACCCTACAAGATTTCCTGATTCATCCCCAGGTTCATATAAAAAAATAGGATATGGTTTTCCAGTTCATATTTGTCCTTTTATGACTATATACTGAGGTGTTTTTACAATTAGCAATGTGAATAGTAGCTAGTCAAGAAGGCAAATGAACTATTTGTCACTATTTTCACATGGATTCTTGATAGCAGGAGGACAAAGTGGTGTGTTCATGCAATTTCTTTTCAAGCAAGGTAAGTTTTATTGTAGCTTACTTCTGGCATATGATTTCACAGTTTATCAAGTCTAGAGCTATCTCACACATGCTTATCTGCCTACCCACTTGGTAGCTTGCCTTCCTTGACTGGGGAATAATAAATTAACATACCATACCTTGCATTCTAGATCCTTTCAAAAATACATAAGATTCAGCAGCATCTTGTCAATGTTTAGATTATATAATTCATCCATTAATGGATACATTAGTTATTTTGATATTCTAAATTGACTCATAATTATTCCAACAGGAAAAATTCCCCAACCTGCTGATGATCCAGTAGTGTCAACAGAGAAGATGCAAGGTCTAAAAGCCACGGCTGAGATCACGAGGCTTGAATTTTCAGAGAGTGCAATCCCTGAGCGTAGGACAGAGAACAAGCCCATGCAAGAACGCAAGAAGCGCACCTGGCATCAGCTTTTAGGGACAGTAAGAAAGGCTAAAGTCTCCAGTTGAAGCTTCCAAGTTGTCAAGCAAGCAGAACTGGAGGCTTTGATGACAGTTCAAGCTTTGATATTATCTAAGACCTGTTGCAATCTTACTCCAAAGGCATCTCCTCAGTACCAGAACACAAGTAAAATAAAGTACAGAAATGCCTGTCTGGATGGAAGCCAGTTAATAAACAAAAGCAACATGTTGAAGTTATGCTATTTCGTGTTAAAAAAAAACTTTAACAGCAAAAAAAAAATATTTAAAATGTTCTATTTCTGTACAGAATAGATAAACTCAAGAGAGTGAAACAAATCTATCATTTCTTTAGTTAAAGCATACTTTAACTGAAAAGCATTGTTTAATACACATAGATGAGGTTAGTAATACAAATCAGTGAATAGAATGAATAGATGTAATCAGTTTTTCTCTCCTGTAATCATCACTGTAGTAGTGTGCATTTTCTGTAATTGTTTTAAAGCTTACTTTGCAATTAATTCAACAGGTTGTTTGATTAAGATACATTTTTAATGCTCATGGTTACCAATTAATATTCCACTATGTTGTGTACTGTAAATGCAGCTTTCACTTCTCTATATATATAGCTGCTTTTTAAAGTTCTTCTCTAAGCCAGCTTGAAGTATTGGTATGTAAACAGTTTTGAGAAGAACCAATATCGATCATATAAATCTCCTACATTTAATTTCCATCTCAGAGTATAGCTATGAACATTTGTTATAATAAAAGTATTTATTTTCAAGATGATATGTGTCTTTGCCATCTCAGTTTTTGCTGCCATACATTGTATGCATTCCCATCTCATGATTATGAATAAAACTGTAACTAAGAAAGCAATTCAATATAATTACTGTGGCAGAATATCCCATTATATGTCATTAATTAGATTACAGATAGAAAAATAATTGGCAAGGATTGTCAAAAAAGAACTAGCACTGGCATGTGTTATAAATATAATAATGCCAAAATGCTGAAACATGTGTAGATATGTCATGATGCAAGCTCTGTACTTTTGTACTTGCATTGCAACATCACACACAAATATATAAGAAACAGAATTTGCCTCTTAGCATTTCATCCTTTGCTCCATCCTGGATGTTTAGTAGAACAAGCAGCAAGCCAAGTATTAAACTTTAAGAAACTGTATTGCTGATGAACTAACAATAGTCTTCTGTTGCTTCAGTAGTTTGTAAATGAGATTAAAGAAATAGAAGTATTTGATAAGCCAAAATTAAGGGTTAGTATGTGTTTATTGAGGAAATGTATTAAATGGTCATTAAGAGTCAGCAATGACTTGATGGTACACAATTACTTTTATCTATAACCTAAACAATTCTCAATTCCATGCCAGGATCAAAACACAATTAGCCCTGATATACAGGATTGTTTTTGAACAACTTATCTTGCTGGGTTCTCCATATTTTGATTATAGGCTAACATTAACATCTCTGGTGCCATAACAAAAGAGAATAACCTAAAGAAATCTACAAAATGGGGCTGCTCTAAAAACACCATTTTGTTTTTAAGCTTCCCCCTTGCAGTAAAGATGGTGTAAGTCATGAAGCATAAATGGTTCTACAACAACTTGCTGCAACCAACTTGTCATGGCCATCTTACCATGGCCAACTCACTCACTGCAGGACTACTCACTATAGACAAATCCATGTGGGATAAATCAACACAATAAATGTTATCAATGTGATAAATGTTATCTGTCACTATTTCTTTGACATTATTTCTATTGACAAAAATGGAAATAATATTAAAGAAACAGTGGCAGAACAACATTCATTGTGTTGAGTTATCCCATGTAGAATTGTCTGTGGTGAGCTAGCCATTGCAAATTGTCCCACTGCAATTTGTCCATGGCAAGATGACCTTAACCATTCTGAACATAAATAGGGTAGAAATAGTAAAGACACCACTACTCCATTCTTAGTAACTCTAATACTAATTGGGCAGAGTCTAGCTTATAATACAAGCTAGTGTATTTATGGTGACTATATTTTGGGGGAAAAAATAAAGGATAAACCTAAGAAAGAGGCAAATCTAGAAAAAAGCTCACAAAGATTAAAAAATGTTTATGTTTATAACTTTGATTTACAAAGAAAGCTTTTTACCTCAGTAATTGGATTCTGTTAGGGCCAATTGTTTAATATATTGCAACATTCCCAAACTGCTCTCCATGTAAGGATAGGAGTGCTTGAATAACAGGATGATTTTACCTCATCTCCTGAATTCTTTCAGTGTTAACTAACATTCTGGTTTGTCTCTTTGTGGACTTTAAGTAAGTTATTTTTTCTTTTTTATTAACATCCTAAGTTCTATCCCCACAAGACTCTGGAAGCTCATTTAAATGAACATGCTTAATATTATGGTGTGTAAATATATAACATGTTTAATTTCATGTATCTGATTTTCTAAACAAAAATTCAGGAAGTTTTTGTCCTATCCAATCAATTTTTCTTTTATACTTTCCTTTAACTATAAAAGAAAATGCAAGTTGATGCTTAGATTCCCTCTTTGCATGAGAGGATCCCTTTTTATCAGAACATTCTGAATAAATCATAATTAAATCATCTTCCTGTTCCAGTTTGGTTAAATGAAGAAGGAGCTTAGAGATAGATTTGGCCATCAAATTCTATCTTGTCAAACTTGCCAAGTTAGTTTTGTTCTCAGTGGCCAAGGTATTTATTTACTGGTGTGTTTCTTTTGCATTTCGCAAAAGAAATACCTGCCTTAGAAAAAAGTGATGGGGAAAAAGTTAAAATTCTTCAAGAATTTATTGCAATACTTAGGGCAGTGTGTTCTGAACTTCGGTTGAGAGATTCTGGGAATTGAAGTCCAGACATCTTGAAGTTGTCAAGGTTCAGAAATAATGACTCAGGAAGCATTAGAAATATGAATAATTATGCACGTCTCAAAACTGCATAGAAAATTATGTTAAAATTATGTTACCATAACTTCAAGGTGTTTCACTGAGGTATTTTAATCCATGGTTTAACGTAATTATGGTTTATTCATTTTTTTTTCTAGGCTTCTATGGCACAAAACATAAAGAAGCATAAAAGAAGCACAAATTAACCTCAGCAACTGGCTGACAGCAAGCTAAGCTAAAATGTACTTTGTTACTTTGGGCTCAGGATGTTATACAAATGCAATGATGAACACTGATATTTCATTTACTGAATAGCATGAGATTATGAAAAACAATAGAAATGGAAGCTCACTCTTTCCTGTTAGGGAAAATTACAGTCTTCTATTTTTATTTAAATGAGATAAGCAGAGTTATAAAAAAAGCATGTTTGCAATAAGGCTCCTAATAGTTTGTCTTAGAAATTTACACTCTCATCTTTTACATACTTTTTTGGAAAATAGATCCTACGGAATTTTTGAATGCAACCTTTCTCCTTCAAGTGCAGGGGCCCAAATGAAACTCACTTTATAAAAATATCCTTACATTTGGGAAGGAATGAAAATTGGCCTTCTACAATGAGGCTGAAATGTTGTACATGAAGCAGACAATTAGTGAATAGAACCACCTTTTTGGTTTTGCAGTCTTATAACATTAACCATGGTGAGAAATGGGATACTAGACTATATGTCTGAGCTAGCTGAGTTTTTCTCACAATAACCTTGTAAGAGTATATGCTTCAAAGAGCAGTCAAATCTACTCTTCCTCTACATCTTAACTATTGATGATTGCCTTATACCCATTAACATTGCCCCATTAAGCTTAATGTGAATGTAAACATAGTGATCTGGGGCTTAAACAAATCATTGCTTAATATGAAACCTTATCTTTCAAGTCAAGTAACATAATATACCCAATATTAACTAGTTTCCTTTTTATCCACAATTTCCTTATGAGCTTGTGTGCACAGAATTGAGAAGATGTACTAATTCTAACAATAACATACAGTAACTTCATGAAGGCACTGTTCAATATTCAACAAAAACTCTGTGTAACCAATTGTATGCTATTTCTAACTATTGTTGCAATAATGTATAACTAATTGCCAGAATATTCAATTTTCAATGAATTTAGGTTACTAGATGTATTAAGATAATAATACTTTTGTCCTATAAGAGAGACAGTTTGGTGTAATGGTTAAGGCACCAGGTAAGAAACCACAACTGTGAATTTTAGTCCTGCCTTAAACATGAAACCAACTGGACCAATCATTCACTATCAGCCCTAGGAAGAAGGCAATGGCAAACCAGATCTGAAAAATCTTGCCTTCTTGCATCCAGTTCTGGTCACTACATTACAAAAAAATGTTGAGACTGGAAAGAGTGCCAAGAAGAGCAACAAAGTTTAGGGGGTCTGGAGAATGAATCATATAATAAATGGTTAAGGAACAGATTATGTTTAGTCTAGTGAAGAGAATGACTAGGGATGAGCATTACAAGACAGAAGCTTTCTAATATATACTTGCTTGAGAATTCAGATGTGTTCTGAAATGCTTATTTTCAACAATCGCACTCCAGATTCAGAATAGTATTCCAAGAGATTAATCTGCTTTTAAATGAATGTTATTGTGTTCTAAATACTTCCTATAAATGTGATTCTAATGCAAGATTTTTCTTAATATAAATTGAGTTGTAAGGATTTCACCATGATTGTAATATTTCACATCCATTTTGTTATTATTTGTTATAAATTGCCCTAAGGATGATAGAATTATTTCAAGAATGTTGTGGGTTTTCAACAGTATTTTCACAGATTACATCTTCTCCAGAATACTTCTAATTAAGTAAAAGCATCTGTAAATGTTAAAATTGATCAGCCTATCAATATAAGGTACTTCAAAATTCTTTAATTGTTTTGCTTGCATGGATTTATGTATAGAAAGATAAAACAATAAGTAAATGTGCATATTTTAGTAATCTGTTCCAATATGTCTGGATATCTATGGAAGTGTAAGTTATCATATGCCATGAATAAATATCAAGGTTAGAAAGATGCTTGCTTCAGCAGAACAGCCAAGAAGCTAAGCCACAAATTCTAAAGATCAACACAAAAAAAGCCCACACTTCTGGTGATCAAACATAAAGTAAAATTATCTCTCCTTTCTTTATTTTTTTCTGTATGCAGAAAAAAGTACCTATATCCAAGAAATTAAACATCAAATACAATAACTACTGTATTAGCTCTCAGTAGCATGACAATATGGACTATTATGACCATTCTCTCAGTGATAATACAAATTGTATGGTGCTAAATGAAGGGATGTACAATGTGTACTCTGCTACTGCAGGACTCCCACAATTAGATGATGAAAATTCAAGTGCTTGGTAATCTGCCCACCCTCGTGATCCATTGCATGGGTGATGAAACAGTACTGATCTGCCTATTTTTCCCCACCTCAGCCACCTCCTTGTCCTACCAGTGTATACAAAACTGATTTGGCCCCAAAGGCTTTGAACCTGCATCCCCATATGCCAGGTCTCAGAGTCCTCAGGCAAGCTTTCTGCCCTGCTAGGTTCCACAGGCCTTGGGATGCTTCCCAGTCCCATCATGCTGGGAGGTATAAATTGCTCCATTTATGTTATCATTTTTCCACAGCTGCCAAACAGGCACATCCAATCAATGCAATTTGCAGGCTTCCTACAGAGATGCTATTCTGCAAGTGGTCACCATGCCCACAATCTCTTAGAAGAGTCCTTTATTAATCTAAGTTTAATTAATT